GATCAGAAAGATGATCAGAAAGAGCATATACCAGAAAAATAGTTCAGAGAGCATTAATCAAAAAGATGATCAGAAAGAGCATAGATCAGAAAGATGACCAGAAAGAGCATATATCACACGAGCAAAGAGATCAACGTCACAGGCTTTGTCGGTAGACAGCGGTTTTTTGCACCCAGAGATCCCATAACACTACGGGCCCTGGATCGTGGCCTGGAAGCCGACCCGCAAAGGTGGCCGTAGCGGAACATTCAAACCAAAACGAATATACGAGACCAACTGGAAAAAAAGACCGGGAACGACCAGGCTCGAGTTTCTCTAGTCAGCGATGCCAGGATGCGACTGCAGAACTCCTTTGCAAGAGCAAGTCGAAAACCCGAAGATAGCTGCGACCAAGAAAGGCAAGAAACGCCGGAAACGAAAAACAAAGAACCATCCGGTCCCGTGCCAAAATCCCCAAAGAATCCGAAAATGGCAGCGGGCCGATGGGGCGTGCGCTGCACAAACGACGACAAGATAAACTTCTCGCGAGATCTCAGACCAACCCCAGATACGGAACATAGCACGTAGACATGTCCAGTGAAGACTCCTTGGTCCAGCGTTTCAAGCGCGTGGGCTTGGGCGAGAAAAAGGCCGTGGAAATCACGAAGAACAAGAAGGTGTGCCAGGCGTTCGTATCGATCCTCGACGAGGCCGGCGTGGACTCTTCTGCCGCTGACGAGAAAACGCTCAATTTGTTGCAGGGCTTGGCGGTGGAAAGCAAGGCGTTCCAGGGCGACGAGGGGCTTGCCAAGAGGCCGTTGGTCACGCGGGCCGTTGTGGACGGGCGGTTGAAAACGCCTTTGCAGCTTTCCGAGGCCGTGAAATACGTCCTTTCCCAGGGCGCCGGGGCCACGGACGAGGGCATGTGCCGCGCTGCCGGGGTGGGCGTCGAGTTGACACGTGACGACGTGAAGGCCGAGATCCTTAGGTATGTAGAGGCCCACCGAGAGGCCGTGGTGGCCAGGCGGTATGCCGGAGTGCCTGCTCTTTTGGGCGAGACCAAGAAGTTGGACGGCTTGAAGTGGGCCGCGCCGGGCTTGTTCAAGCCCATCATCGACGAGATTGCCGCGGAGCTTTTCGGGCCCCGGGACGCGCGGGACGTGGTGAAGAAGGAAAAGAAGAAAAAGGCGCCGGCAGTGGCGAAGGACGCCCAGGCCCCGGTTCCCGCCGCGGCCCCGGAGCGGTCCATGTACACGGAGGGCTTCTTGGGGGACTTGCACCGGCCGGGCGAAAACCCGCAGGCCTACCCCGAGTTGATGGCGGAGCACTTGGCCTTCACCAAGGGCAAGACGATGACGAGGTTCCCGCCCGAGCCCAACGGGTTCTTGCACATCGGCCACTCCAAGGCCATCATGGTCAACTTCGGCTACGCGCAGCACCACGGCGGCCACTGCTACTTGCGGTTCGACGACACCAACCCGGAGGCCGAGGAGGCGGTGTATTTCAACAGCATCAAGAGCATGGTGGAGTGGTTGGGCTTTGCGCCCTGGAAAATCACGTACTCGTCGGACTACTTCGACCGGTTGTACGAGTTGGCGCAGACGTTGATTGCCGTCGGCAAGGCGTACGTGTGCCACTGCACGGCCGAACAGGTCAAGGCCCAGAGAGGCATGCGGCCCGACGGCACGCTTGGCGGCGAGCGCTTTGCGTGCGCCCATCGCGCCAAGCCCGTGGCCCAGAACCGCGAGGAGTTTGAGCAGATGCGAGACGGCCGCTTCCAGCCGGGCGAGGCCACGCTCCGCATGAAGCAGGACCTCGAGTCGCCGTCGCCACAGATGTGGGACTTGGTGGCGTACCGCGTGTTGAACGCGCCGCACCACCGCACCGGCGACAGGTGGCGGATCTACCCCACGTACGACTTCACGCACTGCTTGGTCGACTCGTTCGAGAACATCTCACACTCGTTGTGCACGACCGAGTTCCGGCTCTCGCGGGAGAGCTACGAGTGGTTGTGCGACGCGGTGCACGTGTACCGGCCGGCGCAGCGCGAGTACGGCCGGCTCAACATCACGGGCACGGTCTTGTCGAAGCGCAAGATCGCCAAGTTGGTGGCCGAGGGCCACGTGCGTGCCTGGGACGACCCCCGCTTGTACACGTTGGAGTCCATCAAGCGCCGCGGCGTCCCGCCCGGCGCCATCTTGTCGTTCATCAACACCTTGGGCGTGACCACGTCCACCACCAACATCCAGGCCGTGCGCTTCGAGAGCGCCGTGCGGCTGTACTTGGACCTGACCACGCCGCGCTTGATGCTCGTGTTGGACCCCGTCTTGTGCGAGATCGACAACGTGCCCGAGGACTTCGAGGAGCCCGTGCACATGCCGTACAAGCCGGGCGCCGACGCGCAGTTCGGCACGCGCCACTTGCCGTTCTCCAAGCGCTTCTACATCGACAGAAGCGACTACCGCGACGAGGTCGACAGGGACTACTTCCGCTTGGCGCCGGGCCAGCCCGTCGGGTTGATGAAGGTGCCGTTCAACGTCAGCGTGAAGAGCGTGGTGCGCGATGCCGCGGGCCGCGTCGAGAAGCTCGTGGTCAGCTACGACAGGGACGTGAAGAAGAAGCCCAAGACGTACATCCAGTGGGTGGGCGAGAGGAACTGCAAGCCGGTCAAGGAGGTGCGCATCTACAACCAGTTGTTCAACAGCGAGAACCCCGCGGCCCACCCCGACGGGTACTTGAAGGACATCAACGAGGACTCCGAGGAGGTGGTGCGCACCGCGGTGGTGGAGGCCGCGGGCTTTGACGAGATCGAGGCCAAGTCTCCGTTGAACGTGGGCATCGAGGGCTCCGAGTTCAACATCCAGGAGAAGAAGGGGCCGGAGACCGTGCGGTTCCAGGCTTTGAGAATCGGGTACTTCTGCATGGACAAGGATAGCAACGGCGCCGTGGTCTTGAACCGCATCGTCACGTTGAAGGAGGACTCCGCGAAGAACTAGGCCCGGGGCGTGCCGCCCGTCTTTGCATGCGGCGTCCCCCTGCCGACGGCACACTCTGGTTCCGTGGGGAAGACCGGTTCTCGGCAGGTCACGACACATGCGAGGCGTGGCGCCGCTGCCTGGGCGCCACCGCAAGCACCATGGAAATGGTATATAGTAGTGTAATACAGGACTTCCCAGGCTCTGCCTGTGTTGGCGATTCCTCGACCCACCATGGAAAGCCACCGAAGAATAGAAACCCGCGCAGAGTCACAGAGCCGTGGCGTGCAATAAAGAACCGATCCATATAGAGAACCGAGCCATATAAGGAACCGGACCATATAAAGAATCGAGCCATATAAAGAACCGGGCCATATAAAGAATCGGGCCATATAAAGAACCGGGCCATAGCGGGCAATAATGACCCGAGCCTCCCGTCACGCCTAGTCATTTTCTTGTTTTTTTTGTTGTGGCGTCTTGTTGGGTCCTGTCGCTGGAGATTGGTCTTAATGTTTCGACTCTGGTATCACGGGCGCTCAGAACCACGGACATATGGAGCCAGTGTTCATCAGATATGTTTAGCCGGTGAAACTTTCCGAAATTGGAAGTTAGTTTGTAGAGCTGGACCGTGGTCACGTTGTAGCGTAGGTTTCCACCACGGCAATCGGAAGCTGAGACATCACCCATGTTCTATTTTGAATGTAGGCTCTGTTCGCTAATGCTAGAGCACAAGGTGCTTGAATTAATGAATCATATCCAAGTTCGGGACGATTTGATGCCTAATAATGAACAATGTCAATTATCTTTGCGTTGCATCATATCAATATATGGGAACGAAAAAAATTGATTAACTAAGCTAGCTCTACCCTAGGAAACACCAGATTAAGTCTTCTTCTTTTATCAACCTATATTCAACGGGTTTTCAACTAATTCTTCAGCAGGTGCTTTTTCTACGTATCTTTCCCCTTATCATATAAAACTTAATTTTTAGCATGGTGACTACCCATTACCGCTCTTGAAAATTCAAAAAGTTTTCTCATAGATGTAATTGGTGGTCTCTCCCTAGGAGGATTTAAGCCACAGTTTCTTTTAATACATATTTGATAGTTTCAAGACTATACTAGCTAAAATACGCCTACAAGTGAACCTTGTGGTGTTCCAATGCTAGTTCCAATGTTAGCGTTATTACTTGTTACAAGACGAGCAATACCTTATCTGTGAGTGATCTGACATTGGGACAATCGACTCTTTTTCAATTTTTTTTCCAATAACATCTTTTCAAAGCAATAAGGCTCCCACAGTTTTAAGGTGTGGCCTGTTTAGAAACTCCTCAGTTTGGAAGGGTCCCACCAAGAGACGCCGACTTTCATGTTCTTGTCGCTCTCCTTTCATCTCGCCAAAAACCTGGTATGACCCATTAATTCTGTAGTTGTAGTGACCGATTCTGACTACACAATCTCGGTTCACTAGTAGATGGATTGGAGCAGACTCGATTCCTAATGCCATGCTCGGTTCACGTTCAGATGAACTCTGGAGTTGTAATAACCGCATCAAAACACAGGATCCCGTCTAATTACCAGATGATTTCTATAATTGCAATACCTGATTACTAATCTCATGATTTTTCCCGAATTCATCTTACGGTCCCCAGTTTTATTGTGCAGTTCGCGAAGAGACCCCTTGTGCTTCCTTATGATTCATGGGTCTGTAATTGCAATGACCGAATCTAGTTTCATGTCCCGCCTGCAGATGAATTCTGTAATTGTAATCCGATTCTCAGTTTATGATGCTGTTTCATTATGAGATGATTCCGGGAATTGTAACAACCGATTCTCATTTCTTGCCTCAATATCAGATGATTTCTATAATTGCACATCAACTCTTCATTTCACGTCCGACGATCAGATCCCTACTTCATCAACAGATTTTCAGTTTTAAGGTTCAGGCCCACTTAGAGACCCCGAGTATCTTCTTGTGAACTTGGATTCTGGAATTGCCATCGATGAATTCTGTAATCTGCTTTCATGATCCCTTCCACTTTCAGATGGATCTGTAATCTCAATCACCAAAACTAATTCTATGTCCCGTTGTCAGATTGTAGTTTTAGTAAAAGGTTTTAGTTTGATAATCCCTGCACTATCAGATGAATATGTAGTTGAAATGAAAGGTTCAATTTCATGTCCCATTGTCAGTTTGTAGTTGCATTAACAGGTTCTAACTTGATGATCCCTTACACTTTCAAATGAATTCTTAATTGCACTCACCAAAACTGATTCCATGTCCCATTGTCAGTTGTAGTGCAATAACAGGTTCTAATTTAACAAACCTTTCCACATCAGATGAATTCTTAATTGCACTCACCAAAACTAACTACATGCCCTTGTCAGTTGTAGT